GTACCTGCCTACTTGGAGGATATCTGAAGTCACTTCTCATTTCTGTCATCCCTAACGTACATTGACGCTGTGCTATATACCATACCAGCTTTTAATTGTTTGCAGACAGCGCACAATCATGACTCACTCACTTGAGACCTGGTTAAAATTTATTCCAACGTAGATCAGATATGCAGATAAAATAATTTTATTTTAGTGTTAATATTTAGTGGAAGCAAATGTGTCTGCAAATGTTCTAAGACCAACTACTCTGTGACTCTTCTGAATTCGTTCAATCTCAACGCCTCATCATGTCCTGTCCTATACGGAGATCATGCAGTACATTTCATTGCCTTCTCATATAGACCCAAGTTTCTGCAAGCTGTGAGAACACAATTCTGGTCTCAAGGTATACCCCTCGATCAAGGTCTTAATGGTTTATTGATTGTTTAGTATCTTCCGCCAACTTCACAGTCATGAAGTACAATCGTTTGCATAATAGCAGGGAGGAGAGAAAGAACTTTGCTCTCCCGATCCCTTCGAAATTCGAGTGCTCTGCCAAAGAGAAGTGTTGGATTGCAGTTATAACTACACGTGATCTTGCTATTAGGAGGTTCACAATGCAAAACTCGTAGTCGCTGAGTTGTAGTTTTGCCTCATCGTTAACTGCTGCCCTAGTTGCTTACAGCTTGACAGTTCTTTGGCACATCAATAATTGCCATTCTGGTAGTAGTTTGATCTACGAGGACCAATAATTGTATGATGGCTTACATTTTCAAGTAAAGAGATTGCCCCGCTAACGAACTGTCTTGAGTAACTTGCAATCTATGTCATCGCGTCACTCAGACCGATGACAACAACAATTGCCCAGGGAGACCCGGAGATCGACTTTATGACAACGCAGAGACTCCACATCCTAGCATCTTCGACAGAGCCCACAATATTGTCTCAATTTACGTGAAATACAAGTATAATAAAATGCGTGGGCCGAATTTACTAGCGCAGATGACAGAGATTCACGAAATCAGAATCTTGTGCAATCAAACTCAAACCTTGAGCTTCACCTGAGGTTTGTCTTCACACAAAGACTCTCAGCAACTTATAGAATTCAGTAAGATTTACTGATTTGCTCACAGGTTCTTCGCAAAACATGACACTTTAATAAAAATAGGCATTATAGTTTACACTCTTCGGATACTTTGTTTAACTAAAGAGGAAAGAGTGTGGGCGCACCAACTGCAGATGCTGAACAGAGGAAGATTGTAGGTTGGACATGGTCATTGAGGCGACCATTAGATTGCAATCCTACCTACTTGTGTAGCATTATAGGAGTTCACAATATTGTGAAGTGGGGTGGGGTTGGGGGGGGGGCAAGAATGCAGTACTCATCTTATTGTCAAATCAATCAATTGAATTAGATTTGATTTTAATAATAGTGAACAAGCACTGCTTATCAATTAAAGTAACATACTTTTGTTTATTTCCCTTGGCACCTTCGAAATATTCTACACCATTGCAGCCGTATCCACTGATACACAACGCCTTATTGTTTTTGTGCCGATTTACGTTAAGGTCAACACCCCGATTACATGCGGGCTGATTTAAGGTCATTCTGGTAACGATAATGCGCAAGAGGGTCTCTGGAAACACATACCCTCAATTTTTAGGTTTTTAGTAAATATTACTACTCACGATTTCAACAAAATATTCAAATGTACTCGTGATCAAAAGAACTTGTGAGAAATTTGAAAAAAGACCTTTTAAATATTTAATAAAACACAAATTTTCAAACACGTGTTGAGTGATTGGAGATGGTGAAGGAAATGTGCTCGATGTACTTTCAAGAATCAGCTGGTTGAATTGCTTCATCAAAACATTCGAGTATAAAAGGCATCTAAGATAATATTCCAACACAACCAAACGTATCAAAGGTTGATTGAACACAATGAGCTCATCCTCAGCAGGCACCAAAATTTTAGTCGACACAGAAATATTTAAGGACAGTTTTTGGGAAATAGCGAAAACATTGTACCCAGATTTAAAAGATTGCATTGATAAATCCATGAAAATTACTGCTAATGAAGAAAGATCGCCAAAAGCTGATGCGGATGACCCTGATAATCCAGATGACCCTGATGATCCAGACGACCCTGATGATCCAGATGACCCTGATGATCCGGATGATCCAGATGACCCTGATGATCCAGATGATCCAGATGACCCTGATGATCCAGACGATCCAGATGACCCTGATGATCCAGATGATCCAGACGATCCAGATGACCCTGATGATCCAGACGATCCGGATGATCCAGATGACCCTGATGATCCAGACGATCCTGATGATCCAGATGACCCTGATGATCCAGACGATCCGGATGATCCAGATGACCCTGATGATCCAGACGATCCTGATGATCCAGATGACCCTGATGATCCAGACGATCCGGATGATCCAGATGACCCTGATGATCCGGATGATCCAGATGACCCTGATGATCCGGATGATCCTGATGACCCTGATGATCCGGACGATCCGGATGATCCAGATGACCCTGATGATCCAGACGATCCGGATGATCCAGATGACCCTGATGATCCAGACGATCCTGACGATCCAGATGACCCTGATGATCCAGATGACCCTGATGATCCAGATGACCCTGATGATCCAGACGATCCGGATGAACCAGATGAACCTGATGAGCCGGACGGGTCTGGAGTACCATGCTGTAATCTTCCATTCGAGTCTCTTCCTGATTTGATCAAATATCTTTATCCACAGTATTCGCGGTGTGTCGACGCCTACTTTACTGAATAAGTATAATAGCAGTGCTTATTATAAACATAAAAAATAACGTTCGACTTAGTGTTTAGCTCAAATAAATAATTCTTACGCAGATATCTCTTGATTTGTTCCTTTTCTGGACTACGTCTTGCCTTTTCCAATTTCAATTAGTCAAATGCCTTTCTATCTATTAGATACGTTCTTTGTTCACGATGTCATTGGTAAAAATCTGGTTGTCATAAGCTCTGGATGCTGTAATGTCGATAAATTTGCGTCGACGTAGTTGAGACGCCAACAGTAGGAAACATAACTCTCGATTTGCTCTCGTCTCAGTGATGAAATCAACTTTATATTAACAATTTGAACATGATTACCATGTGCCTTGAGTGTCAAGTTCTTGTTGCTCTAGTTTGTTCACTACAATTGTTCATCTGTCAAACTGGAAGCCAGGCGTCTGGCAGTTTGGTGAACCATAGGCGAGGAATGAGCAGACTGAAACGGGATGAAATCTGTCTTGGTAACAATGGTGTGTGAGTGCTGCTTAATAAAAAGCTGATGTGGGAAGCCGAAAATATGAAGGAGATAGTTGGGGAGCCTGATGGAGCAGGTTTGAGTAAGACACTGGTAAGGAAAGCAATGGTTAGAGTGGAATAGAAGAAGGGAGCATAATACAACAATCGTGAATTATCGAACAAGTAGTAAACCCATTTGGCGTTTTGTAGTCGGACAGAGTACCAAACATAAACACTATGCAGATTTAGATAAAACTCAATGCACAAAAAAGTCGATGCGAATGAAAGAGTTTGACATAGGAATGAGAAGAGGGTATCAAGTGTATTTGTCAACCTTGTTAGCCTGGCAAAGGAAAATTATGGCCCACAGTGGAATAATTATTTCCAATACGTGCTAAAGTACTCTATTTAATTATTGCTTCCAATGCAACCAGTGTCTGACAGCTAACACGTGTGTTGGACTTTGGCATTTAGTTCCATTTCTTTCCTCTTCGCAACATGGATGAGAACATCTGTAGTTGGTGATAAATAGGCGAGTGATAAGATGGTATTCATTAGAAGCGTAACAAAGGATGGATTGAATTGAACACGTGGTGAGCTGACTCGACTGGAAGCGAAAACGAGAACATGGATTAAGATGGTGGTTCTGGTGTTGCAATTTTGGAAGTCATTCTTTGGCACTGTGATCAAGAATGCGCATGAGTGTTGTTGCGCACAACTAGTGATGTGAAAGTTTCTCAATTGGTGACTCCATTATGTCGTCACTCTGAGTTGTCATTTCTATTCATAGTGAGCTTTTGAAGTTCAAGTAATGAAATCGAGTAAGCACTCGGGTGGTCTGTACTTACAGAAGCCTAGTTAACGTCGTCCATACTGAGTAATCGACTTGTCGTTCATGATGCTCATCACATGTTCGTGTCTTTGCGCTTTGAGTAATCCACATTCATTTTTGTTTAACAACAGAACTAATTAAATTTTCTTTCCAATGGCTATTTTTAGAATATCTTTCATTAGCCCCTTAGTTGACTTCTGTCTTCCCAGTATCTCTGGTTTTCAGTCGTTGTCTTTAGGGCTGGACTCCGAATCAGATGAACCTTCTCCATTTCCTCCTGTGGGTCACAGAGGAGGCATACTGGCTGAGCGCATACTCCTATTCTTGAAGGTGTCTCGCCAAGCATCAACTTCTTCGATTCTTTGCCAGTCAGCTATATTGAAAAGTGCCGTTGTCCATGACTTCTCATTTGTTCGAGTGTTAAGTTCGTTGCATCTTGAAATATTGAATTCTCTCCTGAATGAGGTCTTTACTGTGTGGAAAGACAATGGCTTGTCTATACCTTGCAACATTGTGGTTCCCTTCATGTCAAGTATGTCAGCGCGCTCAATGCCTGTAATGTCACGGTGTCCGTGGATCCATTGTAGAAACACAATCTTGTTTTTATTTCTCTGAGCAATTGATACAGTTGTTCTCTTTCGTGTATTTCGGCTATTTTGGGTGATTCTCTGTTTCCTATTGACTTTATTCCTGACTGCGAGTCCGACAGAATTACTTCGTTGGCATACTGCTATCTTAATGGCCCCTATTTCTCCTTCGAATGCAGACCTACTTTGTCCCGCTGCTGTGAAGAACAAGAATAGTTCAGTGCAAATGACTGCACTAATGTTTGCGTGGTTTATAGTTATAACCCATCAGAGAAGACATTGAAGCATTGATCTACAGGAAAGTTTACATTGATTGTCTCAAGTGCCAATACATTGTTGTATTTTTATAATGCCTGATAAATTCCTTTTCATAACGATTTGTACCGAACAAAACTTTAGTATGACAAAAGCAGAGGCCTCTCCACTTCGACCAATCAACGGGCAAGGTCATTACGTAGTTATTTTGCCCTCAAATGTATATTTTGATTTAATTCCTCTTCATTAACCACAACCCAAATAAACGCATTCCACCTCATCCGTCTTCTTACTCTATTGCTTTCGGTTAGTTTAACTTATTTTAGGATCATTCCAAGATGGGAGAATCAAACATAGTGATTAATGAGTATAGTCAAGACTTATTTGTGTGACGATCAGCTTCAACCTTTGTGGATTTATAGGAATGCGATTAATGAAATTACAGCAATTCTTAAATGGTTTTTTCTATTGATAATAATAATAAATGGGTAATCTCATTTTAATACAAAATAAAATTGTGGAATGCACAATGCTGCCATTATTGAAGTAAGAAATCTCATGCGCGCTCAGATAGATTAAAAATGTTGACCCTATTTCTTGTCGCATTTTTGCGGAAAGTGCGTCGTGGCACAGGGTTCTCTCAGTCAGCATCCAATCGATAGTACCTGTATTGTTTTACAAACTCTACATTATACTCAATTGGCCAATCTTTGTGACAGACACTCATCCCAAATAAATGTGCTTCTCATCATACGTCTGTTGCCTTAATAGCTTAACTAACTCTGGGACCCATTCTAAACTGGGAGTTTTTCCTATTGATATTATTGTGCAAAAGTCAAGGCTTATTATTGCTGCTATATACTACAAGATGCAACTTGCATGTGTGCACTATGAAAAGGAATCTGAATTGTTTTACTCTGAGGTCTTAGCAAGCAACTTACTTAAACAATCAAAACTGTATATATTTCAAATAATTGAAATTGGTGAAGGAACTTAAATTATAGATCACAAGAATAATATGGGAATTACTTAATCGAAACCTTGATTTCACTGACTGAAATTACCAAATTTCAAAGTTAACAGCTTCTTTTCTATGAATCAGTTTTCAGTGGGCAATAAGTTACTATCTACATTTACTAATGGAAATAATTTTCTAAATAGCGTAAGAAATAAATTGACGCTAGAAACGATCACATTTTGCACGAGTGGACCTATTAACAGGATGGAGCAATAATAGTCAATAAATCAGGCCGAAAGTGATAATTAGAACAAATAAGACAAAAGTAAGATCACTTAAAACGTCGAAAAAATTGCCCAAATAAAAAGAGAGGGAAAAAACATTGATCTAATTCAGATCTATTCAAAGCTAGTAAAGCAAAGTATTATAGATAAATATGTAGTGTTGGGGAGATTCTTATTTCTCGCACATATAGTCCTTCATACGATTGTAAAATTTCGGAAAGAACTTCTTTGCAAAAAGTAAAAAGAATAGGGAGGAAGGTTCAGTCACAATGCCACCGAATTCAGATGAATTTGTGCAATTAAAATGGGAGAACCACTGATCTAGTTCATTTTCAAATGTTACTGTAGAGTCTGCAGTAGAAGTACATTCAATCTTCGCTTGTTTTTCTCCAGATGACACTTCTCCTTTATTTTTTAGTTCCATTACATGACAATCACACTCAATTTTCATTGGAATTTCATTGAGGGGGGCGTCTTCAACCACCACCGGTCCCTCTGCAGTTGTAAGTATTTCAGTCATTATTGGTTCTAATTCATTAGGCAGACTATCAGTCATTACTGGTTGCTCTATGGTTGTATACTCCTCTGTCATTACTGTTTCCACTTCTGAAGGCACTTCTTCACTCATCATTGGTTCCTCTAAGGTTGTGAGTTTATCAATCGCAATGCGTGACACATCTGTGTGAAGTTCCTCATTATTCACTGGTTCCTGTACAGAAGGCAGATCATCAGTCATTGCAAGCTGCTCTAAGGAAGTATGCTCCTCATTCATAACTGTTTCCGCTTCTGTATTCACTTCTTCCTTCTTTTTAACTACGTCCATTTGACAATAGCATTCAATATCAATTGGTACCTCGCAAATTGATTCTAATTCTAAGAATTCGGATTCATCCAAATCTGCCAGTTCATCACCATTTTCTAATTCCATATCTGTAAGAAGTTCTTCCGCGTAACAGCGGCATTCAATTTCAATTGGAACTTCTTCAATTTCTGGTTCTTCTTCTATTTGCTCATCCTCAGGACTCACTGTCTCCTGTTCAGATGGCAATTTCTCAGGTCTAACTGGGTCTCTCGAAGGTGTCAAACTGTC